AAGGTCGAAAAGAGCGGGGGAAACAGAAAGGAATTAAAAAAACGGGTCAAAAGAGGGCGAGAGTAGAAAATGTCAAGCACAGCTCCTGACAGGAAACGTCCACCATTCCTTATCACACATCAGGTTCCGAAGTACGTGCCTAGTTGGAAGTTGGTAAATGCGTACGAGTAGCAGGACTTCCGTTGCGAAGCGATGCTTCGTATTACTTTCCCTGAAAGCCCGGTTCGGCAGTGGCATTCTCATGTTTCCAGCCTGTTAATGATGAGTCTATATAGAGCTGTTTGTCCCGATTACAATCTCATTGATGTAACGAGGGAAGGGTAGGCCTATTTCATCTCAATCCACTTTGTGATCTGAGTACATTTCGACACCCGATGTACATTTTCCAGGAGAAGTCAAGGCTATTTGTTCTTTTTTGGGGGTCCATTTCAAAGTTTTTGTATAAAATTTCTATTTGAATTCCATTATTGTGAATAGATCTATTAAAAAAATTGATTAAATTTATACATATTTCCAACTTTTTATAAATTTATTTTTGGAAGAATTCCATTCATGGACATCACTAATTTTTCCCTGCAGTGACCTATCAGCCATCAGAAAGCAATTTATAACCATCTTAAAAAGTCAAATTTAGCAGGGAAAAAAATTGAAGCATTTACTAAGAAAACACTTAGAATTTTTCGGACCAGTCTCATAGGGTTCGTGCGCAGGATGCCAAATGATGCCTAGGTATAGAATTCTTCGCTCTGTGTTTAGTAAAATAGTGTTTTGACAATTATTGAAAATTGATGCATGTATTGTCCATAAAACTATCTCACCTAACATTTTCAGCTCAAGAATATTTGTAGGTCTACACAAAAAAATCACCTATACAAATGCCTGTTTAATACACAATGCATCCAGACTGATGTAGAATTTAACTAAAGTTTGCAAAAGGTGTATGCATGGAGGAACAAGCTCCATAATGTATGCAACTTGCAAGAGGTTCATTCGGCACTTTATGCCCGACATGTTTAATTTATGGTCAAGATGCTTAAATCCCAAATGAATTCTGTATCATAGTGAATTCCAGCATGTCCTTATCATATTTATCTTCCCACCGCCTGTTTACACAGATGATAAACCGACTTGGGTCAAGTAGTAAAATGCAAGGAAAGTATTATTATTCAGTTGGTTATCTTTATATCAACTGGACTTGTTTGTTCAGTGTTCATGCACCATCTGTATCGTATGACATCTAAACTGCTGAGAATTCTACTGGTAGTTCTCACAGTGGACAGATTTCGTTGGCTTGAAATTCTAAGAAGGACAAGCTGCTTCTGGCAATTTGATTTTTTTTTTTAGAGAGAGCGAGAGATTTCAAGTGAATTGAATTGAAAAGATACGTATTTCATGCATTGTAGGCCTAAATTGTATATTTACGTAAGATTTGAGGCTTTGCATGGTGGAGATACTAAATAATGAAAGGTTTGCTGAAACACCATGTGCGAATAATTTCTCAACTAAGAGAATGGTTCTGAAAAGAACCATTCGCACATGGTGTTATTCGCACATGGTGTTTCCGCAAACCTTTTATTATTTGAATATTTACAGAATTTTTAGTGTGCCTTGAATGTACTTGTGCCGAGTATACTAGTAAAATCAAAGCATTTTTCAAAGTCATAGTACAGTACATGTGTGATCAGTGATTTCATATGTTGAGCCATAATTTCTATAATATTCAATACATTGTAATCATTTTTTTTTATTTAGAGAGTGACATTGATACATTGTATTACAATGTTGCAATATGTAATACAGTTCATACACACTTATATTACAGGTACATGTACTTGTACCTCATACATTTTGCACAACTTGTGGGACTTGCCACTTTAATACTTAACAGTATAGTTCATCTTGCAAGTCCCTGCCATTTCTCTTCAAAAGGCCTCCAAAACATAAGATATCTTTGTATTAAACAAGTAATTCTTTATTAGTTTATATGCAGTACTAAGGTATAGATACATGCACTACATACTTTAACATCCCCTCCCCCTTCAGCACCCTACCATTCCAGGGTCTGTCTTGCAAACCTGAAGGACATTGATTTTTGTCGTTTCCGTTTTGACTATCCTTGATTCCCCACCCTAAATGCATGCGTCTTCACTGTCTGTCCCCGGATCCATTAGCATCTCGTCTTGGTTGGCTAGACATTTAGGTCAGTCGGGCATTTGGAGCTCTAGGTTTCATCGGCAGGAGAGGTTTCATCGGCAGGAGAGGTCTCATCGGCAGGAGAGGTTTCATCAGTAGTCGTTCCCGGAGGTGGTTACTGATGATGATGATACGCAGAGAGAAATTGTCATGACTTCGTGGAACAGTCTGTCTTCATTTGTAATTCAGCTCAAATGTAGAGTTGGCCATAGCCCGCAGTACACGACATCTGTGTACATACATGTACATGTAGTTTGGTTTTTTTTACTGCATGATATATAATTTACAGTGTATGGATGTTTACTGAGTCATAAAAGAACTTTTCTTGTTCATTGAGTTGTAGTAGTCTATGTGGGTCATTCAGGGTGACATTTTTCCTGTCCCTGTTATGTTACCTTGATATTTGCCATTCAAGTTTCATTAATATGAATGACTTCAAACAAGTTTTCATTTGTTGGGTGGGTATAGTTTGCTAATCATAATCACTCTTGGTGAATGACTGCATTATTAATTTAAGGAGTGCATCAGAATTATAAAATCATACGGTAGATGTCAGATATTTAACAGGGACAGAAAAAAAGTGGACCCTAAGTTTATAGAATGACCATATGTGCCTGCATGTATTGGCCAATGTGTACCCTAACATGTGGCATAGGTTATGGATGGTAATAAGTTTGGTCAAATTTTGATGACACACATGATGCAAGAAATGAAGTCGAACTTCATAAGAAATTCAAAATCTCAAAACTTTTGATTTGAGTTGTTAAATAAAGTTTTGGTTTAAATGTTTTGTTTTTTTAATATAAAATTGATTTTGAAAGAAGTTTTGGTTTTATTTTATAGGCCTATGCGTACAAAATGCCATAATTTCAAAACTTCAATTTATGATCGCCTGAGCTCAGCCACAAAACTCCCATCACCGCCCCCTCACTGTGCTCGCCAGTCGCCAAGACCCTGTTAGTTTCAACTCCGATGGATCCATTTCACGCTTGTTTTACGGCAATAACCAGAGCAGACAAAATCGTCATCATTTCTGATCCTTCCTGCCCGGCTTTGCCTTCGGCAGCATGCATGGACGATCCGCTGTGTCGTCAGGACAACCCGGCTCAAGGTTATTGGGTTATGTTGGGTTGAGCCCTCCCACGGTCTGGTTCTTTCCTTGGAGGGTGTCGCTAAGCCTCATCGGCAGGGAGCGAAGAGGCGGACATTGCTTGCAAGTTGGCAGAAATAACAGATTTGAGTGATTTGAAGTGGCATACTGGCAAGACTGCCAGAAAAATTGGATTAATTCCACACTGTAAATTTCATTTTCCCATGAATGTTTTCATAAGGTTTCACTCATCCATTTTTGATAACAGTCTTTCAAAGCATTTACAAATTACAGTTAACTTATGATATTTGACACAGCACAATGTACAAGCAAAATTCTCATATTGTTTTTTAATTAATTAAGCTGCTGTAGATTTAGTATTGATGGTGCGGCCATTACCAATTGGTCAAGGCCGTGCAGTGTACAGTGGAGAAGTACAGTGTAGGGTACATGTACTTTGTGGAAGCAACTAGGCAATCCATATCAACTATTGTTCTTCTAATAATGTGAGTGTTATTTATCAGTTCTGATGTTAAAAGAGATGAGAGATATGTGTTTGCAAATTGGATGTTGATGGCAACTTTCAGTAAACTGTTGTCTTCGACACTGCATGTGCGTCTCTTGAAATGCGATTAGTGTGAAAGACTGGTGGTGAAAATTTAAAACTGTGTAAAAAAATGTTGGCAAAATACGGGTAACATGCAGATGATGCTTAGATATCTGGGTTGCCTGTCAGTGTCAGTTATCACGTCACAGGAAACATTGTCCAGCCCCCCCCCCCCACCCCCTCCCCACCCACCCACCCCCTCCCCACCCACCCACCCACCACCACCAGACCGCTCTCTCATACAATAGTTTACATGCTACTTCAAGAAAATTTCTTAACCAAATTTTCTCCAAGTTGTCAACTTTGACCAGTAACAGTTTTTTGTACATTTCAATACATGTAGTTTGTTTTAACAATGCCTTTTAAACAGACATATGTACAAATTACAACTTACATTATTGCAATTTTTCAGGTCATCTGTTTCTATTTTGCAATTTAGTTTTCTTCTTATGAATACCAAACTTTGTTCACATGTATGTTACATATGTACCGGTACATGTACATGTAGCTAAGACTTGAAACAGAGAGGCCACGGTCTTCAATACCCATACCTTGAAATGCTCCTTTTTATAGTTTAATGGTTGTGTTTTTAAGGGAAATCATGACCTTCCTGGTACCTTCAGCAATAAAATTCTTTTTGCAAATCCTAGCAATTCCATAGTATTTTTTTCCTTGTTTATCACCTGAGCAAGGTTCATTTACCCAGCTGCTAGAAGTCTGTTGACAGCTTGCTCCTCCGTATTTCTCGAGTGATGAGTCATCAGTTTACAAATCAGTTGCCATGGAAACCGGAGCGATGCGTCATCAATTGTGAAGAGCAGTCGTCCAAAAGAAAATTATATAAATACAACAGACTTGTTTACAAATGATGTGTGGGTGTAGGGAAATTTGAGAAAGGTTGTAAATATAGCGCCGGAAAAACTGGTTTATTAGAATCAGGGAATATCAGTGTCAGAATCAGTATTGTAACCAGAATTGACATTGTTTACTGTGCACAGAGGGAATACTATTGACTCACATGTTAGGAATTCAACCTGTCATGCAGTTAGAATGTGGAAGCCCATAAATCTTGAAGTGAGCCCTCTGTTGGTCAGACTTGCCCATCTGGACAGCAATACACACAGATTGTGTTGTGTGGGCTCTCCCATTGCATAGGGTGAGTAATTAATCTGCTGTAGATTTATTATTGATCGTGTGGCCATTTGCCAGAGGCTGTTCAGTGGGTAAAGTGCTGTCTGTCGGACAACACCGTCAAAGTACACGCGTGGTAGTAAGCAGGGATCAGATATTGCTGTATGGATTTTAACCACTTGGAACTGTGACACTGTGGAAAGCCTCGATATTTTACACTGTATCACAGCACATCAGGAATAACTGACAGATTTGCCAACAATTTCAAGCTCGCTTTTGGTTTCTCTTATTGTCACTGCACAGAGGAAAACAGGTGAGTGGTTGTGCTGCCGGAGTGATTGCGAAGGATGTTTGTTGACCAGATGGATGCATGCATTACGTGGGTGCTTGAGAAATTAATTTCAAAGGGCAAAATTTGTTATCGCTCGCCATTTCATTCGCTTCAGTGTATTATCAGTGCAGGTGTATGGTACAGGTACCGGTAATTGCACTACAGTGTTTGTACTGGTCTAGCGTTAAGTTGTAGATTTGATGGACATGATTATACAATGTATGATATAAACAGTTTATTTCAGGAATACGTGATAATTTGCTGAGCCATTTGTCTGTTGCTGATTTGAAAACAAATTATTTCTCGTACAAAAACAGGTTTACTGTAAGCATACTGTGTGCACCTATAGCTTTGCTTAGAAATTGGTTGTGTAAAGTGCTTGAAAAATCTTGTGATGTGCACTAGTTACCGAGTCCCAAGGGGGCATAAGATGTGACATAACATCACAGAATGGAAACATGTGCATAAATTGTCTTTCAATCTCACTCAACCCCCAAATAATTGAGCTACCATTAATTGGCGGGCAGTCACGTTAATTAGCAGGTGTTAGCATTTATTAGTGTGAGCATTGAGGTGTTAACATTAATTACATGTAGCAGGCATTAACGTTAATTACAAAAATGTTGCAGGCCAAATGGTGTGAGAAGCCCATCCCTTGGAAAGTTGACATGTGTTGAAACAAAACTGTATGCATTTAAATAAAAAATAGTCCTAAAACTTAGTTTTAACCCACCAAGCGTTTTGGTCTACAATGCCTAAATTGAATGATTTTGTGCGATTTTATACATTATACAAGTATGTGTGTACATACAATTTAGCTGGTAATGTGGTATCAATTGGGGCAAACTATCAATCCTATCACGTAGGCCCCCTTGAATGGCTTGCTTAATGCTTAAAGCTATAGTCCATCATTTGCAGCCATCCGAAAAGTAACTGGCGTAATTATTGTTGAAAAACATACTTGGTTGAAAGATAGTAAGGGGACTAAACTCCCTGTGAAATTATTCTTTCTGGCAAGCTGTCATTTTGAAGTAATGAACGAAAGAAGGCCTTTCCAACGGTGCGTCTTAATACGCACCGTAGGAAAATTTAAATTAGTAGTTTGTTTTGTTATTCGGCGAAGCGCGCGCAAGCATTGGCATGACGCACATGCGCGCGCGGTTGCTATAATTCATCGGATCAGCTGCAATTCAAGACAATTCAAAACATGATTCAGTAACTTTTGATTTGAAATTGAGATCCTAGAATGCTGTTTTCCTCGGAATATACAGCTGAAGCTTAGCTGAAACTTCATCAGGTTAGTTGTTCAGTATCCTTCATTAGATTTTGAACACTTTTGTTGCTTCAAACGAACAAAATGCACAAATTACAAATGATGGACTATATCTTTAAATTGCCACTCAAGGGGGCCTCGCATGTGTACTGGGCCCAGATGCCCGGATTCCTGTATAGTACCCTCTGTGTGAACAGCATGCAGACTTTTTGATTACAGGGCATTAATACCCCTTTAATGAATGGTTCTTAAAACCAAAACCTGTGGTTGTGGTTTTGTGTGTGCACTGAACAATATCAACTGTTGTCCTGCACCTGGTCTGTTAATATGGGTGGTCACTTTATCACTTCATGGTCCATTTCACTACAAAAGACTGGTCCCATTCATGTATTGCACCTCCCTGGCTGGTCTGTTTACCTTATCACACCCAGACTAATTATAAAATAACTGTAACCAGTTAGAGCAATTAGGGCACCAGACAATCCATTTAGTGACCACAACAGTTTAATCTACACCCTTCCTGTGCTTAAAGGGGGCTGCCTTGCCATGGAGCTATTAAACGCTTCAATAGCTGCATGGTCTTACAACATAAAGAAATGCTTTGGATCTGAACAGGCGTTGCTTTGTATTGAAGACTTCATTATCAGGTTCCTAGTTTAGGCAATGGTTCAAGCGTTCATTGGATTTTAGAAGGTTTTAACCCCAAAACTGAAAAAAAAACTTAACTTCAAATTGAAAGAAAAAAAAAATTGTTGAAAAAAATAAAATAAGGTATGACCCATCTAAAAAAATGTTAATTCACCTTTTTTGCTTCCCTACTCTTCACAGTCTTAACAGGCTTGTAACCAAAATAGATGTTTTGTTCATTTACGTAGCAGCACATTGTTTCATTAACCCTTACTCTCTGAGGGTAGTTTACTGCATGTCAGTTGGTTATGCCAATGCCCTCCAGCTGCAGTTATTTGGCAGATAACAAGTCTTAACAGTGAAGGCTCCAATTGGCAGGAGTTGGAGGCCCTGGAGGGTGCCTGATACTGACTAGCTGGGGGCACTCACTTTGTTATCAGAGGACTCTCATTGTTCTCTGTGGCATGTATTGGAGTGCCTGTCCAGTTACCCTTGAAATGACATGGCAGATATTGGAGGGCCATGCAAAAAACATAGGAGATTTTCTTGAGGCACAATTGGCATGCATTGGAGGGTCAAGTAGGGTAAGGGTTAATACTTTCCAATTTGTGAAAGAGTATCCTTGAAAAAATATAAAAATATTTCCTTAAAGACTTTTGTTGTATGTTGATAAAACTTAGATAATATTTTTGGAACTACTGGTACAGGCTACAATAGTGTCTTGGGTAATGCTGGGTGGGCAGGCACTCCCTCCACTTTCCCCAGTTAACCCAGACTTCTAAAAATCCCCCACATTCCCTGATAAGCATCTCCTCCTGCGATCCATTCCAATGATCCCCTTCTTAAAACCCTGTCAGGGTCACACCCTCTCCTGGTGTGAGACACTGGCCCCATTGACCCAAAGTCTTGCCTGAAAGTACAGAGAGCAATTTGTCTGACTAGACAGTATGTACAGCCATGGGGGATGGGAGGGTATATTTAGGAAGCAATCTGTCAAAGTGTACAACAACATTTCCTATAGGGTTGTCTTTAAAGAGGATGCTTGCTTTATGCTGCTACATGTACCAACCGCACTTTGTGATTAAGCAGTCCAAAAAGGCTTGAGGTTAGGTTATGTTCACGCAAGATAAACATTCTTCTTGTATGTTCTGTGAAGGCTTAAGCCCTTGTACTGTAATAGTGTACGGATGTAGTCATCTATTATTAAACCCAAAGCAACATATAGCCACGTACCGGTACATGTAGTCTGAAAGTACCGGTAGTTTATCAAACAGTATTTAGACAAGACTGTGGAGATCTTTACATGTAGACACATGTTAATTATGTACAGCACATGCATGCATTTTGCACATTTACATATTTGTGCATAGCTTGGAAATATTTAGAGCGTCCCTATACAATGTACATAAAAAAGGACAACTCTTTCAAAAGATGACTTTTGATGGTCTGTTGTCTGTCATTCTTGCAAGAATTTGTTGTGCCTTATCCACAATCATACGAAGTACTATCTTTAGCCTATAGATAGGCCTACAGTGTTCCAATACTTGCAAGTAAAGACGGCATTGGCTACATGCATAGTACCGTACATGTATGGTACATGTAGATTATGTAGATTGTACCGTACATTGTGTATGGGATAATTGCTTTTGTCCCCGTGATTGTAATCAGCGTGTTTTCCCACTCATTTTGTTTTTAACACTGTCTTCAAGCAGAAATCTTAACCTTTGACCTATGTACTGGTACCTAGGGATTGCCAGTGCGACCTCGTCGTGATTATTGCAGACATCACAGAGGCCTAATGATGCACAGATGTTGAAAGGGCAGATGGCACTGTGGGATGCTTTTTACTTCGACTGGCGCTGTCCGCCATATCATTGCGTATCTCGCTGTTTCATTTATTAAAGTGTTCCCTGCCTTGAAATATGAAACACGTACCGTTATTAATATTAGAATCTACATTTACACATAACATGTTGTACATACCGGTACTGGTACCTGTTTGTGTAAGTTTTGTGGTTTTTGCCTTTTCCATCAAAAGGGGAAATCCATAAATGTTTTTATCCTGTGGTGTCAAATAAGTTCTAGAAATAATGCTCAGAATTAGTCACATGCAGTGGATCAATATCAGCTCCATATGACCCAATGCAAGAACATTTATCTGATTTTCTCCATGAATTTCCTTAATTAACCCTAACGATCCCCAACCAGCCAAACTCCAACACCAGGGTTTGTTGGAATCTGTTACTAGTTAGGATGGGTACTGCACTAGTAAACTGACTGTGTTTTACGTGGGATTAGGCATACCACAAATAAACAGAGTCCAACTGTTTATGTGCACAGTTTACCATAATGTTGGGATTTGCAAGGATGAGGAAGATTTCTAGTAAATCACCCTTTAACATTTGACATTACTCAATAATCAACATTCATGTTGGCATGCATGATGCATTGCATGTATCTGAAGTGCATACAATTTGGACAATTCCAACTGATGTTAGAAATGTCCTCCTGCATTGAATGTAATTTAATAAATGAATGTTAATGCCAAATCATCAAGACGTGATCACAAATGCAAAAAAAATCAAATCCTCTAGAATTACAATCCCCCATTAACATTCCTTCATATCCATCATCAGGCATTCCTTGCATGCTGTTATTAAAAAAATGCACCTGAGTCTTAGTCTCATTTGTGTTAGACAGAAACAGGTGAACGTAATTGTCTGTGATAAAACTTGGTTGACAAAAACTGTCTACATATACATCTCAAAGAATGGGACTTCATAAATATCTTTGGAAACCTTTCCTTTCTTAAGTAGTTCTGAATTTTGTTGTAAAGCTAGTAAATTTGTTTTTTACTGTTCTGAGTAATTTTCTTGCCTTTGCCAAATAAAAGAGTACAGGGTATAAAAAAAAACAGTAAAAACTGAACGGTTTGCATCAGGTGACTCAGCACCACTGGTCAGAAATCTGACCAAAATATAATCTAATTCTTGGGCATTACTGACCAGCCATTTCATTATGATCCTTATTGTTAACACCCCCTCGGGCACTGGAAAAAAAACACCCCCACTGTCATAATGGA